GGACAAATATGACCCTTTGATCAACTTTGACCGGCCCATTTAAGCTCATTTGGAATTACAAAATAAACATATTTTATAATTTGACCTCATGCACGGACTAAAGCTGCACTGATTTTATTTTACAGGTGTTTTTTAATGACATTTTTTGTTCGTCAGCCTCACTTTTTCATTGCTTAGTCACGACATAAACTCTTCCCAGTCTGAGCAGCTCGACAAAACAATGATATTTACAGATTTTTATAAAGAAATACAATTAATATTATGCAGAATTGACTTAAGCAATTTAGCCCTCCACCATATTTTCTGTTTCTAATGTGGTTATAGTTTTAGTTTTTCCTCGAGTGATGCAGAAAAGAGTGAGCCACTGTCTGTGTGAATGTTCATGTGTGTTAGTTACCGTATTTTTTGGGCTGTTAGTCGCTCTGGATTATAAATGGTCTATTTTCGAGCTTTTTTCACAAATAAACGGCGTGGGACTTTAAAGGAAACCCAACAGTGTGATGGGTGAGTGGTTTTGTTTGTTTGTTCGTTCACGGTGACTCTGGGCTTTGTTCAGTTGTGGCGTGTAGGGAGGGTGTGTCTGGGACCAGCGGATTGTCGGCGTGTTCGCAGTGACTCAGTTGTTCAGTCGTGTCTAGAAGCGGCACGTCGCGCTCGTCGCTTTTTCGGTTCGTTCCTCCGTTCCGTTCCTCGTCGGCGTGGAGTGATGAGTGTGTCTGTGGGTGTGTTTCGCTGTGCGGTCGCTGTCTGCTCCGTGTGTGTTTGTGGCTTTATAGTTTACTGAAGTCGTACAGGGACACTCGAGTGGATTCGTGTATGGGGCGCTCTGGATTGTGGCGCACGGTCGTTTTTTGATGTGGTTGGAGGCTTAAGAGTGCGTCTAATAGGCCTGGAAAATACAGTATTTGTAATGCAGACATAATAACAGACCAAGACTTGAGTTTATAAACCCGTCTTGAAGCTGAAATGTTCTTCTCTCCTTAGGCTAAAAGCCACACTAACTAACTAACTGTCTGTCTGTCTGTGTATTTAAGTTAAACTGATGTAACTGAGCTGTGATTCTCCAGTTACTCCAGAGTGTGAGGATCCTCCTGGACACGTGTCTCTCACTGTCACATTCTTAAAATATACTCAGTCTGTGTACTGTATCTGTGTATCTGTGTATCTGTGTATCTGTGTATCTGTGTACTGTATCTGTGTATCTGTGTACTGTATCTGTGTATCTGTGTATCTGTGTATCTCTGTGTATCTGTGTACTGTATCTGTGTATCTGTGTACTGTATCTGCTGTAGTTAACACTCCTGTCTTCATAAATACACACACAGTTTTACTCTTGTCAGCATAAATGTACAAGACCAGTCAAAAGTTTGGACACAACGTCTCATTCAGTGTTTTTTTTTCTTTACATTTACAATTTTGTACATTTTATACACAAACAGAAGACATCAGATATATGAAGTGAGATATGTAGAATTATGTCATAAAGGAAAAACCGTGAAGGGGCCAGAGGTGCAGATTGACAGACTCGCTCCTGTCAGTCTGTCCCTTTCAGTCCCTCAGCTGTGGCTACAGTAGTACTACAGTAGTATTACAGTAGTACTACTGTAGTACTTTACCAGCAGAGTGTGGAGTGAATGAATTGTGACAGAGTGAAGTTCTTTAAGAGGCTTTGACGAGTCTGTAAAGCTCATTACAAGTGTAAGATGTAAGTGTTAGTTTTACTGTTAAAGCTTTTGTCTTACTACTACTACTACTACTACTACTACTACTACTACTACTGTCACTACTACTACTACTACTACTACTAGTCACTACTACTGTCACTACTACTGTCACTACTACTGTCACTACTACTGTCACTACTACTACTACTACTACTACTACTACTACTACTACTACTACTACTACTACTACTGTCACTACTACTACTGTCACTACTACTACTACTACTACTACTGTCACTACTACTACTACTACTACTACTACTACTACTGTCACTACTACTACTACTACTACTACTGTCACTACTACTACTACTACTACTACTACTACTACTACTACTACTACTACTACTACTACTACTGTCACTACTACTACTACTACTACTGTCACTACTACTACTACTACTACTACTGTCACTACTACTACTACTACTACTACTGTCACTACTACTACTACTACTACTACTGTCACTACTACTACTACTACTACTGTCACTACTACTACTACGTCACTACTACTACTACTACTGTCACTACTACTACTACTACTGTCACTACTACTACTACTACTACTACTACTACTACTGTCACTACTACTACTACTACTACTACTGTCACTGTCACTACTACTACTACTACTACTACTACTACTACTACTACTACTACTACTACTACTACTGTCACTACTACTACTACTACTACTACTACTACTACTGTCACTACTACTACTACTACTACTACTACTACTGTCACTACTGTCACTACTACTACTACTACTACTACTGTCACTACTACTACTACTACTACTACTACTACTGTCACTACTACTACTACTACTACTACTACTACTACTGTCACTACTACTACTACTACTACTACTACTACTACTACTGTCACTACTACTACTACTACTGTCACTACTACTGTCACTACTACTACTACTACTACTACTACTACTACTACTACTACTACTACTACTACTACTACTACTACTACTACTACTACTACTACTACTACTACTACTACTACTACTGAACTAAAGGTAAAAGGAGCTGTTCACTTGAAAACTACCACTACATGACATCACAAGGTGGAACAGAGCATTTGGAGCTTTGGAGATGTAAACAGACTAATAACAAAGTGTTACTCAAACATGTGAATGAAACAAAACTAGGATGAGCAGACGTCCCTGTTTCACCTGGACAGTCAAATGTCGATGAGTCGATGTTTTGCAAGTCTTTGACCTAAAGTCCGAGTCAAGTCCCAAGTCAAACACAGGCAAGTCCAAGTCGAGTCTCAAGTCACTGGTCCATAAGTCCAAGTCAAGTCCAAGTCGTCTGATTTGAGCCTCAAGTCATTTCAAGTCTTTAAACCAAAAAAGTATCAAATACAGCTTATCATTCATCATTTTTATGATTTTTTAACTAAATTGTATTAAAAAGTCATGGTATATTTATATATGATGATATATATACATGTAGTACATTTGAGGATAAACATCACAGTACTTCAGTTTCATCCAAAGTACCAAACAGAAGTGTGAGCATCGTGTTCCAGTTTGTTCGTGTAAAATTCAGCTCCACATTTATCAGCTGTAAAGAGAAAAGTATTTACTAAAAAAACATATATATATTTTTTAGGAGAAGCATCAAGTCTTCTCAAGTCATTGAGCTTTAAATCCAAGTCGAGTCCCAAGTCTTAGCCCATTTTATCAAGTCAAGTCTCCAAGTCCTAAAAATAGTTTCAAGTCTGACTCGAGTCCAGGTCACGACTGGCAAGTCCCACCACTGATCCTCAGTCCCAGTAGATTTACCCAAAACCACTGATTTGTCCCAAGAAATGTCCCAAGTGTCTCTATTTTTGACAAATTCGATCCCTGCCAACAGTAAAGAGACACAAACTGTCATTTCCTTCAATAAAATACAAAAAAGCTGCTTAAAAACGACCAAAACACAAAGAAAATGTAACTATACTGACTCATGTTGGTGCCAAATGTAGAAAATGTTTCCTTAATTCCGCACTCTTTTCACTATTTTATTATTACCAACCACCACAAACCGGAGATCTCCCAGTTTTTTATTCTGAAAATCTGGTCACACTAGGGCTGGGTATCGTTAAGAAGTTGTCGATACGATACATATCTTGATACATAGGCCATAATACGATACGCTTTTCGATACAGTGCACTTTTGATTCAATACGATTCGATGGGATATATTTCAAATCGATTCGATACGGTTCAATGAAAAACAAAGGCTAAATCATGTCTGTGAAACTAAAAGTCCAATAAGTCAACTAAATTTGTGCAAAGTTAATATGAAAAACACCCATTTTACTCAAAACAGCGAAAATCTCAACACAATCGTAGCTCTTACACAAAATAATTTAGTAAAATATACCTAGAAGTACTCTCAGTAATATCTCGATACAGCAGTCCACGATATCGATACTGTATCATCAAAGTAAGTGATACGATATATCGATATTTCAATATTTTTGCACACCACTAGGTCACACTAGACAAAACTCAACTCCAGGTCAGTTTTTGAGGAGGTAACAACATTAGAACATGGATTAAAGGTTGTATAGAGGATTTTTTAAAGGAAAGAGAAATACAGCAACAGTCCTTTTTCAAATGTCCGCGACACCATCGTTCCTCCAGAAATAATTTACAGACCAACACCTCAGTTTTTTAGACCCTTCGTCTGAATCAGTCGCACAATCACTGAAAGGAATCTCCAAGAACCACCTCGGTTTATCTTCGTTCCTTTTCTCCTTCTCTTCTTCTTTCAGCGACCTCAAAAACTGACTTTCTTTTGTGGCGAACTGGTCGTGGATTCTCGTTCGCCATCGCAACAAACTTTGTGCAAACTGCGAGAAAGCTACAATTAGAAAAAGCCTCTAAGAACCCTGGAAACATTAGTTACACTAGAAACGTAGGGAGTTTGATTGACGACCTAACAGCCAATAGAAAATGAGGCAGCCTCATTTTCTATTGGCTGATGTTTATCTGGCCTCAACGTGTCCACAGTTGATACATTTTCATTCTTTTTTTTCTTTTTTTGGTCATCATAATTACAAAGCTGCTGCGTCCCTGATGGTATTTTGAACTTTCATTGACAATTTGAAAAAAATCCTCCATACAACCTTTAAAGCTCAATTTTGCGTAATACTGGAGCTTTTGTGATTGAAACGCTTCTGTGGAGTGAGTTATATTTTCTAAACATGCACAGGCGCGTGTGTGGGAATAAAAAAGTGCAGAGGCTCGCGCGTACTCACCTGGCCAAATCCAAGAAGGAGTCCGCCGTCTCCTTGTCGCTGCTGACGCTCTCCAGACTCAGGTGGTTGGTGTTCAGAGCCCCGGCGCCCACCCCGGGTTTGATGATGAAGGCGAGCGTCACCCCGATCCCCGAGGCGATCAGCGTGGTCACGAGGAAGTACCCCACGGCGATGCCCCCCAGCTTCCCCAGCGAGCGCGTGTCCAGGCTCGCGGCTCCGGACACCAGGCTGCACACCACCAGCGGCAGGATGATCATCTTCAGCATGCGCAGCAACATCTCGCCGGGGAACGCGAAGTATGTCATCTGCGCCTTGGTGAGGGACATCGTGCGCACCGCCATGCCCAGTCCCACGCCCACGAGCACCCCAGAAACGGTCAGGATCACCAGCATGTTCTTGCGTAAAAAATCCCCCACTTTTTTCCCGCGCGTAATCTTCTCCAAAATCGGTTCCGTGGATTTGGACTCCGGCAGCGCGTGGCCGTTTAACTCCATTTTCTTCTCCATTTTTATTTATTTTTTTGTGTGTGTTGTCTGTTCTTCGGGGGAGGTGCACGCGGACGCAGATGCTCTCTCTTTCACGCTCAACCCACGTTTGAGGAGCGGAGAGCCTCGGTGCGCGGACGAGGTTTTGCGCGGAGCCAATAAACGCGCGGGGACGGGACCACACGGCGGAGGTGGGCATGCGCAGACCACTCGCCGGTTCCGTACTCCCACATGATGCAAGAGAGGGGGAGATTGCCAAGGTTTATTGGCACCGTGACACACTTTCAGTAAAAAAGAGAGAGGAGGGCACGCCGGAGAATTGTCCCGTATCAACGTGGCATAGCGGGGTTTTTTTTTATTATTTTAATTATAATTTTTATTTGTGCGTCAGTGTTACGTTTTGTGTCGTTATTCCGCGTGGATAAATGCGCCTGAATAGAACATCCGGGTCTCTGTCTCATCCTTTCTTGTGCATCCTTTTGTGCACAGAAGAGACTGATGCAAGAACTGCGCCAAAACCACGTCCCCCTCCCTTTAAGATCCACTTCTTATTTAATGTCAGGGGTTTTTTTCTTTCTTTCTTTCTGTTTTTATGTATTTTATTAAATCAGGCCTTTGTTTTTTGTTTTTTTGGGGGGCATAATTACATGTTTTGGTGTTGGGTGAAACTGCAATTATTTAATTTCACAATAAAAAGCACACTATTTTTTTCAATTCAATTCAAGTTTATTTATACAGCACATTTCACGATATTTCAGTTATCGTTACATCCCTAAATAAAACACAATGAAACATCCACAATTGAATCATTATCAAACATTATCATGAAATATCAAACATTTCCTCAAACTGTTTTTAAAAAAATATTCTGATGCTTCGTTAAATAGACGTGAAAACTGCTCCAGAATTTCCCGCCTCTGAAACTCTTGATGTGACACATTTTGGAACATGAAAATTATGATTTTGATGAGTTTTTTATCTATGAATCTCTGCAGTGGTTTTAAAGTTAAATGTGAAATGATTAGTATGATCATATCTAACATTTTAGGGTCAGATCTGTGGAGAGGCAACCCTATTCCCCGAGAGAATGATTGTATATTTTGAGCAACAGAAACACCTGCAAAGGATAAATGCGAGATAGATGCGTTTAATTGTCCAATCACACTGCAAATTTCACTGATCTGGCCACGATTTTAAAACTTATATATCAGGTTATTCATCTTGTTTTGAGATTTATTGTCGACTTACTTGACCAGACACTGCTTCGCTCTAGTCTAGAACTCGTTTATTTTAAAAGAACTTGTCAAATAAAATGTTCTTGCTGCATGGACACATAATTTCTCTACTTTTAAGTCATTTTCTGATACATTTAAGTTTTTATATCTTAAATTTTGCAGTACAGTCCTTATTTTTTAGGATGATTAAATGTTTTGGTGTTGGGAGAAACTACAATGAGTAAAACAGACAACAGTGTCACATTTTAGGGTCAGATCTGTGGAGAAGCAGCTCTGTTCACTAAGAGAACGACTGTATTTTTGAGCAACAGAAAGAAACACTTGTAATGGATAAATCTAGGATTTATAGATTCATTTATAGATGTGTTTAATGTTATATCGTGGAACATTCTAGGAGAAGCCATAACATCTCCATTAGGGGTTTGAAAAAATATAAAAATATCATTTTGTCGTATCGTTTAATGTGATGATAAAGTATCGATATCGTGGGCTGATGTATCGATATATCACTAAGAGGATTTTGTGGTATATTTTAATGAATTGATTGATTGATTGTTTGCATTTATATAGCACATTTCAAGATCCCCACAGCACTTTACAGATCATTATTCAGTCGCTCCACACTCAGTGGTGTAAACTACTACTGTAGCCACAGCTGCCCTGGGGCAGACCGACGGAAGCGAGGCTGCCAATCAATCCACCACCAACACTCACACACACACACACCAGTTTTATACTAGGCAATGTGGGTGAAGTGTCTTGCCTAAGGACACAGCAACAGTTTTTTGGGTGTTTTTTGCCACTGGCGTCTCCTGTGGCTCCTGGATTTCCCAGTGTCTCCGTCCAAACACTGAGCAGACGAGACGTGCAGAGCCTCTGAGCTCTGACAGGATCAGGCTTTGACAAACTGCTCACGGACATTATTGTTCCAGCTACAGTTTTTGTTGTTTGTTCAGAGGAAGGAAACTCGTTTGTGCGACACATTTGACATTTTCACTGTTTGTCTTTTTTCCCTTTTTTTTTCTTTTAAGTTTTCAGCATTTTAACACAACACACAAAACAAAGAGCAGAGTCCTGATCACATGTTTGAGTTTTCCTCATTACATAAATATTACATAAACTATATTTAAGCAAGACACACCGACCTGATCAAACAGACAAACGCACAGACCAGCAGCTCGCCACGACTCTGAGCCTGGACCTCTGTGTGACACCGACATCATCCAGTGGTCAAGCCGAGACCGACACAACTCCATAAAGAAATCATCATTACCTTTCTATTTTCCATGGTAAAACTCTAAAAATGTCTTTATACCACTTGTTTCTCTTGTCCTGGTTCGAGTCCAGTTTAAGTCCCGGTTCAGTCCTGGTCTAGTCTTGGTTTAGTTCTGAGTTCAGTCTCAGTATAAATTTGATTTGGTGATTGTTCAAGTATGAACTCATCCTGAAATAGCCCCTGGGGAAAATTCAAACCTGTTTTAGAAGTCAAAGTCTACGGAACAGTTTAATACAAGAGTAAAGACGACACCGTAAACACTGAAACACTTAAATCGATCAGAAAATAACTTAAAAGTCGTGAAATTATCTGTCATTTTCTGATTTTGGTTTTATATTGAAAAACGAATGAACGAACGACACACGGATCGGTCTTGATCTCGATCGATGTTTCTTCTGCTCGATAAATAACGTCTGTGAAGTGATGAAGTATTTTTGACAGTAAAGTCCCGTCTGTGAATTCGTACTGATGAAAGTGTAATCGTAAAGTTTCATTTGGTGATTGTAATTCTTGACGTCGTAAGTTTTCAGTTCGTATTCTGATGGATAAAATACACACAATATATTTTATGTACGACTGGATTAATTTGAGAGTTTACGAATGTTTATTTTATGCTCAACTACAGACAAATATGCCCGGATTTGTTTTCTATGTGCATGAATATTTCTGAAAGCTTCTTACTCCATATGACATGATCAAATATGATTCTAGTAAAGGTGTGTGGAGCTTAAAAACACAGTGGAATTTGTTCCTGTATCACCACATGACATCACAAGGTGGATCGGAGTGTTTGTGTGTTAATTAAACATGTGTGAATGAAACAAAACTCAACTCCAGGTCTGTTTGTGACGAGGAAAATAACATAATATGAGACGTTTAAACAGGAAAGCTTTTGGAAAATTCTCTGGTTTCCAACAAAAAAGTGATGTTTTTGTAATTTTTTATGTTAATATCTTTATTTTTATGATACGGAAGAAGATTTAAAAGCAAAAATAAGTCATATAAAATCACTTTTTACTACGAAGAGGTCAACAAAATGTAGAGTTGCCTTTTTATATCAAAGTCTCATCAAATTTCTGTCAATAATTGTGAATTTTATAAAAGTGTTTAGTTTTTCACTCTAGTTTTGGTATTTTTTTGGAGGACGTACTCAAAAATAAACTTCAAATCCGGATCTTGTGGGTTCGGTCGGTCGTTTTCTTCTTCTTCTTTGTGACAGAAGTCGGCTCTCTGCAGCGGCGTTTGAAGAGGGATTAAAATACTCTAGAGAACTTTGGTCAAACAGGAGGAATTTTCTCACAGGGAAGAAAAGAACAAACTCTCAGAAACTCAAAAGCGGTCCTTGAAAAAGCTCAAATATTTGGTAGTTTATGTCGTTTTACAGATACAATTAAACACAAAGAGTCTGTTTAAAGAGTCTGTATTAAGTTATTTTCTGATCTTTTATAATGTCATTTTCTCTTCACAAACAGACTTGGAGTTGTGTTTTGTTTCATTCACAAGTTTAATGCGGTTTTGGTGATACAGGAAGCGCTCCTCTGTGTTTTTAAACTCCACACACCTTCATTTGGATCATTTCAGCTCTGGAATTGACAAATTTCCACGGAACAAAAGGTATAAAAGAATGAGAACTTCGCACATCAGTTACTTGAGTTGGAGGAGCGGGAGCAGAACAAGAACATCGAGGAAAATCCTGCACACCGTCTTACTTGCAAATTGTGAGATTTATTAGGACAAACCGTGCAACGTTTCGGCACTAGACCCTCACCAGGAAAACAGAACGAGAGTTCAGGTGACCATCTTAAATAAAATGCACCCAAAACACCTTAATTCAAGGTCTTCCTTGCGCCATCTGTAGTCTGACTTCCTCAGGACAGAATCCCAGGTGTGTGACAATTTATCTTACAGTTTATTATATTTGGTTAAGGATACTTGGTTTTTTTTTTGGTCTTGTTTTGGATTTTTGGTCTCTTGTATAATTGACTGCACATCCCCCCAGGTACAGTGTGTGTTATTTATGATGTTGTTGTTATTTATCTATGATGTCCCTCTATTACTACTATTACTACTACTACTACTTCTACTACTATAACTACTACTACTACTACTACTACTACTACTACTACTACTATAACTACTACTACTACTACTACTACTAACTACTACTACTACTACTACTACTACTACAACTACTACTACTACTTACTACTAAACTACTACGACTACAACAACAACAACAAATTTTTATTATTTTTTATATATTTTTTTTAAATTATTTTTATTATTGTTATTTTTTAAATTATTTTTATATTTTTTTATTATTTTTAATATTTTTCATATTTTTTATTTTCATTATTTTTTATTTTTTATTTTTATTTTAATATTTTATTATTTTTATTATATATATTATTATTATATATATATATATATATATTATATATATTATTTATTTTTTTTTAAATTATTAAGAAAAATAAGAATAATAAAATATTCTACCAAGACTAAAAGCTTAATTTTTGCATAATAACCCTTAGGGAAGATGATGTCAGTGGATTATGTATTTAGTTCTTTTGCATAACTTTATTTAACTGCAGCTTTTGACCATAATCCAAGAC